AAAAAATGTTTTTATTGATTTTAGAGAGAGGAAGGAAGAGGGATAGAAATAGAAACATGTATGAGAGAGAAACATCAATCAGCAGCCTCATGCACCCCCCACACCAGGGATGGAGCCTGCAACCCAGGCATGTGCCCTGACCAGAAATCGAATCGGTGACCTCTTTGTTCATGGGTCAACAGTCAACCACCGAGCCACACTGGCTGGACTAAAGACAGCCAGCCTTTTAATTAGCATTGTAAAAAAATTTTTCTATGAAAAAATTTTAAAACTATGAAATGACATAAAAATAACTGTAAAAGTCACTTTTTAAAATCTTGTACATATCCAGTTAGTTCTTTGTGAACTTATAAATTTTTACAAAATTGGAATTATATTTTAAAGCTTTCTTAATATAAAATTTCCTCCATTGTTTTTAGAAGCTGAATACTGTTCTGCTGTATGGATGTAGCTTATTTAACCAATATTCTAGTAAACAATGCAGTAATGAACACTTTTGCAATAAAATTGTTACACATATCCTTATGCTACATTTCCTTTAGAGTAATTGTCCTGTCAAATGCATATGCTCAAGGCTTTTGATACATATTGTTAAGCTATACTCTAGAAATTTGCCAATTTATACTCTCAGTAGTATAAGAAACCGTTTCCCTGAACCCTTACCAGTATCATTAAGATGTAATCACTTATTAAAATAACACCTGAAGACCAAATTAATGTGTAACATGTTACATCACTCATAAGTCTAACTTACTATTAAACTTTTAGATTACTATTCAAAGCTTAAGATTCATATATTTTAGCTGTAGAATCTGAGGTCCAGTAAGTTATATAACAAACCAGAATGCTATATTGTGGTGTTTCTGTAGAAGATATTTTGTAGTGCTCTTCCTGATTGGCTACTCTCTCACCAATTATGCTTTTTCCTGGCCCCCTGCAATAACCTTATAGGTTTCCCAGGAAAAGGTACATATTTCCATTTTCAAGGGCTGGAAGCTTGGCATATTCTATTAGTTTAGCACTATTTTTCCTAGTTGTTTCCTAGCTTGAATTTCACATGTGTTGAAGAAAACCTTTCAACATATTAACTTTAAAAAAACAGTCTACCTAATATTGGATAAGGATCTATTTCATTCATTCAACAGCTCATTTATTCCCAGTCTCATACATTCAACAGTACTTATCTAATGCCTTACCATGTGTGGGGGATAAAGCAGTGAATAAAACAAATGTAGTCCCTGCTCTCATAAAACTTACATTTTTAGTAGGGCGAAGGGAAACAATAAAGATATAATGACAAATTACAAATGCTATTAAAATAGAGGGTCATGTGGGACAAAATAAGTGAAAAAAGGAGCTACTTTAGATATGGTGGCCAAGGAAGAGTGTTAGAGATAATATCTGAGTTAAGACCTGAAGGATGAGAATGAGTTAGCCATAAAGACATAGAGAACGCATATCTCAGGCAGAAATAAACAGTAAGTGCAAAGGTCCTATGGAGTATCAGTTAAGTTGAACTGAGTACAAGAGACCCTAAATTGTAGCTTTACTGACAAAAGTTTACTTTTTTCTTTATGTCAAAATTAATATAAGGAGTATAGGGCTGGTATGGTACTCCACAAGGGTCTCAAGGCCTCAGGTTTCCAGCAGCTTAAGGTTTTGCCATCCCTATGATGTGGGAACCTGCACCTAGCCCAAACTGGCAGCTAGAGTTCAATGCTTCACACCTGTAGTCCAGGGTGCAGGATATAAAAGGAAAAGCAGAAAAGGACTGAAGGTGTGTAAGAGCTGTCTTTGAACATGACATACCTGCTTATTGGCTAGAACTACCACATGGCTGTAGGGAGGCTGGAAATAGAGTCTTTATTCTGGATAGCCACGTGCCCATGTCTATTACTATGAAAAAAATCAGAAAAATTTTAGGGGACAACCAACAGTCTCTGCTATAGACTGGAAAAAGCTTGATATGTGACAGAGACGGAAAGGAAGGGTGAGAGCAAGATGAAGTTGGAGAGGTAGGCAGAAACCAGATTATACAGTTTTAAAGGCCATGGTAAGGAAAATGAATTTTATTCTAAGGGTAGCCATTGGAGGTTAAAATAAGGAAGTACCATAGCCTCATGAGCTTTTTAAAATGATCACTCTAGCAGGTATGTAGAGATGGCTTGAAGGGGCACAGGGAAAAGTGGAAGCAGATAATGTGGATATTGCTCTTTAAGAGATGTAGTGTCTTGGACAGGATGGTGGCATGAGAGGTGATGAGAAGTGGCTGAATTTTGAATACATACAAGGAAGAGCTGATGGTACTGGATGATCAGTTGAGGTGAGGAATCAAAGAATATTCCTAGTTTTATGCCTGAGTGAACTGTTGGTAGTATTGTTTATGGAAGGGCAGTTTGAATCCTAATGTTTTTATTCATTTTTAGAGAGAGGAAAGGAGGAGGATAGAGAGAAACATCCATGAGAGAGAAACATTGAGATACATCAATTGGCTGCCTCCCTTCTGGGGATTGAGCCTGAAACCCGGACAGGGAATCAAACTCGCAACCCTCTGAGCATGGGATGACAACCAACTGAGCCACAGAGGACAATGAAGTACTTGTTAAATTTGAGATACCTATCCTTTTTACCCCTTACCATGATAAGATTTTCAGTAGTCTGCATCTTTCAAGAATGTGAGGACTCCCTTTCCTATAACTAGTTATTTACAAACTCATTTTCTTCCCCTAGTGAGGATTTTTTCCCTCACTTTAAACCAGTAATTTTTCCATAAGGTACGCAAGAAATTTACCTACACACATTTCAACACACAAAACACATACAAGGTGTGGACTGTTTTTCAGTAAAAGCCATCGAAGTGAATAGTTAAAAACACCACCTATCTACAAAATGGGTAAATTTGATCAATATTAGTAATAAAAATGGACTTTTTGATGCAATAGGACAATTTTAAAAAATATTCTATTTACAGTGCTTACTAGAAAACTATGAACATAGCTCTTAACAAATGTTAGCTCATTTAATACCTAGGACCAACCTCTATAGTAGACATTCAACAAGTTTTACAAATTTATTAACAGATTGGACACTAATAATAGGATAATTTAAAACCTGTTAAACAGGACTTAAATTTATCCTAAATAAAGTTTTCTCAAGAAAGAGTCAGTGTATTTTTTCCTAGTGCTCCTATCCTACACATTTACCATGAAAATGTTTTATCTCTTTCAGTAAAATATCCAAGCTAACAAAACCGTCAAATTAGACCTGTTCCTTTCTGGAAGTGATTTCTCCAATTTTACCAACTTTTATGCTATTTAAAACGTGTTTTGAGTAAATATGGGGTTGTTAACAATAAGGTCCATCTTTTGGTCTTAACAAAGTCCTATATATAAGCAAACTAATGGATAAAGTGGTAATACTTGATGCAACTGTATAAATATATCTGTACTAGAGGCCCAGTGCATGACATTCATGCACTGTGGGGGGGCGGGGGGGGGGGAGGGTGCCTCAGCCCAGCCTGCACTCTCTCTCAGTCCGGGACCCCACAGGGGATGTCCGCCTGCCGGCTTAGGCCCACTCCCCACAGCTGGCAGTCAGACATCCCCCAAGGGGTCTTTAGCACTGCTGTGGAGGCCGGAGAGGCACCTGCCACGGCCACTGTGTTAACCAGCATGAGCCTGGCTTCTGGCTGAGCGGCGCTCCCCCTGTGGGAGCACACTGACCACCAGGGGGCAGCTCCTGCATTGAGCACCTGCCCCCTGGTGGTCAGTGCGCATCATAGCAAGGGGTAGTTCCGCAATTCAGTCAATTTGCATATTAGGGTTTTATTATATAGGATACACACACACATATATATAAAAAACCATATCTCACTTTTATTATTCTAACTTAGGATTCCAAATATCAAGTTATACTTTTAATTTATTAATAGATTAAAATGCTCAGTAATATGATAAATGTACATACATGTACTTATATACATGTATGTATGAAATTCAAAGGCATATTCAGTTTTTTAACATGCCATCTTACAAAGCAGAAAGAAAAGTTCAAAAGGCAGGCAGAACTGTTGGGGAAAAGGTAGGGAAGAATATTAAGAAGTGTTCTTCCTCGACCTTTCCTAACATAAAAAACACGGTGGAGCAGAATGTTTAGTGAAATGAATAACCATGTGAAACATTTTCCACTGGCCACATCAGCACCATTTGGAGTTTAATTTACACAGTATCTAGTAATAGTTCAAAATACACTGCATTCTGTAAACAGGACAAAGACACCTTTTGTTTTATGCTTACATGTTTTTTGTTATTTAGGAGTGACAGATAACCCTTTGCCCTTCGGTGGTATATTTTAAATTGGATTACTGTGAGTTTTTTGGAAGAAAAAGTTGATTTTACAAAAACAAAGAAACAAGAAAATTCGAAATTTTATTTACTCCGAATCAACTGCACTTTACATTAATAAATTCCATCACTCAAATAGAAATAACAATTTTCACAACCCCAAAACACTCCCGTAGAGGGTCTTTTTAAGCCCAAAATATCCACTAGTAACAAAAAGGGAAGAGTTTATCAATATAAAAGGGAACAGACTGATTACTTCAAAGAAGACAAGTTTAATTTCACTTTGAGTGGCAATTCTTTTTCTGGAAAGCAGAGACTTCTCGTTCTCCTGAAGTTTCCACCAAAGCCACCATAATGTCCCACAGCCCTGCTGATAGCGCAGCCAGTCATTCGCGGCGAGAGAAAATGCTATAAATCTAACAGCCTGCGCGAGTGCCCCCCAAAGTGCTCTAAAAACCTACTCCCCAATATGTTTCCCCTCCCACCCAAGTTTAAAAAAAAAAAAAAAAAAAAAAAAGGAAGGAAGG